ATACGCTTGTTGTGCAATCATACGTCGTCGACTTCGCAGGATCGCAACATCTACAAGGAAAACTTAATCAATTTATTTTTTCTATTACCAATATAAGCTGCCTTTTCTGCTCATCATGATGTTGTAAAATATACACTGCCAAAAGTATATGTGCTAAAGGCGAAATTTATTTTTAAAACGACCAATTTATTTTCTCTTCTTTTTCTTTCCTCGTCCTAATTTTTTAATAAAACAAAACGTTACGATGAGTGTCGAAAATATATAATATTCTTTCGGAGAGTACGAATCTGCACGATTAGATACACGATATATTATCAGCGTATGTGGTGCGAAGATTTATGCATATGTAATCACTCACACACGTGAGCGATAAAATGCGCGCGAATATTGTATACATGCTCGCGTATATGCGTGTGTGCGTGCATGCGTGCGAACGATTACCGATCGTGCGCTTACGATAAACACACTCTTCAACATGCGGAGGCTACGCGGGAATAATTACGAGGAGTTTGCGGATATGTGTATGTTGGCACTCGCATACAGACACATGAAACAAACAAGATCGCTCCGGCACGTATGCGCGCACGTGCTGATGGAAATTTCCAGACTCTTGTGAATTCTCCTGCGTGCGATCTCACGCTTGGAAAAATGCTAGATTTTCTGTTTTCTTTTTTTTTTCTTTTTGCGAATGTCATTAAATGCACGATCAATGATTAATTGCAACGGGCTTGTCGTCTTCAACAACACAGAAAGAGGTTCTGAAATAGCGGCATCAACGTCAGATATACTCGTTGTATAGCTTGTCGCGATATTTGTTAAAACGAGATGTTTATGGGAACGCTAATAAATCATTCCGTTGTAGTTATGTATTGTAAAATCAAGGCAAAATAATAAGAAACCCATAAATTCAGATTGATAATATATCAATAATATTCTAATAGTATTTATTATATACATATATATATATATATATATATTGAGATAATTGTTTATATAACACATACAATATCTTTCGTATATAAATATTTTTTATACTACAACGCGTTTTTTGATTTTAAGAAAATTGCGAAAAATCCTAATCTCGTAATCAACATAGAAGAGACTACGCAATTAAATCGTCTTACGTGAAACATCTATAATCAATTTTATAATTAATATAAAATTTTGATAATAAAACCATATTACAAGTTTACGAGCACTTTGCTACTGCTTATTCGATTTTTCTGCGCTATCTCTTAAAATGTCCCATTTTTATATTATCTTCTATATTAAAGTATAACTGAAGAGATAATTATTATTATCAAAGTCATTGATCCTCAGGGTCCTCAGAGCTCCCCTATATGTAATAAAATTTCGATAACCAGTCACGCCTATCAATCTTCACGACGCGATATACGAAGATTAAAAGCTCAGTTGATTTATGCCCGTTATCTGCACGACAACATCTAGACAGATTTACGTTCTGAAACATGTATTATTACGGTAATAATTATTGCACTACAAAATGAGGCGTGACAGATATTATGTAGCTTTTCTGTAATTAATGACATCTATTAACAGATGCAAAAATTGTATTCCTATGCGGATATGTATTTTAATAGATCCTTTTTTTTTGCAAACTTAAAAAATTTATGAATCATGAAGCTCTTTGATGTCGGCTTTCCTCGTCAATTTATTTGATTGATTAGTTATTGCTAGTTTTTTGTACGCATCACGTGTCGTCCAAGTTTTCTTTGGTTGATGATTGTATTCTCATATTTTGCGTGACTTATCATGCCATCAGTTTACAACATTGCATAAACGTTAAAAAAGATCATTAGCATATAAAAACTCATGTTGTTGAGAGTCATATAATAATATTCTGAAATTTTCCACACACGCGAATAATATAAATATTTTATCGTTTTAACGTTTAGTTATTCTATTCACTTAATTTTAAATTAATTTGAAAATTTAATTCTTTATTCTAAATGTGTGCATTTTATCTAAAATAAAAAAGCCGTATAAATCTCCACATAATTTATGATAATTTTTTTTCGAAAGAGATTAATCTCGCATATCAAATATCTTATTAAGACTTTTTTACAAGATGCTTATAAAATAATTTAATTTAGGATAAGTTTAGACCTCTCTTATATCCTCATGTTTTTCTCTGTGTAATAATCTCTATTATACATATTACGTAAGGAAAACGTTAATATATCATAAAGGAAATCTAATAAACGTGAGAAGAATTTTTATCAAGGTGTATCAAAATGATAATTGTCAATTGCTATATTTCGATCCAAGAATGAGCAGAGCTATTTTTAAAGTGTTATTTCACTATCATACATATACACAATCTGTACACTATATCTTTTAAATCCACTATATCTGACCACTTTAACTTAACGGCAAAGAACCGTTAGATTAGAAAGTTGTGAAGGGATTATAGGGACTAGTTTTATGAACATCGGTAAACGGGATCTTCCTTATTTTTCCAGAAATATTAAAAAATAATTAAAAAATGGAGAGAGAGAGAGAGAGAGAGTGTGATTATACAGAGATACTTTTAAAACTATGGATTTTTTAACTCTGCGAGAGTTAAAAATTTTGGATTTGTCGTACTGGACAGAAAGTCGACTTTTTGGGAACGGTTATACAATCCAAATATCGTGGATCGAACAGACCCAATAAAAAAATTATTTAAAAAAAATTGGATTTCTGTCCAAAATAACTTTTAAAAATAATCTTAACATATCTGTTTATTCTCTTTTTCTCTCTCTATTTGACTATCATTCTTTAGATCTGAAATATATGATTATTAATTTATTCTCATATTACTGAAGTAATTAGACAAAATGTTTACACTGCCGAAGGAAAGATCTGAATCAAATATAGAAAGGGTTAATTTTTTAAATTTAATTGCAACAAATTGTTACAATCGCAGTTGAAGTATCACTTGAGATACACTACGATTTTATCTGGTTTTATTTATTTTCTGTTATCTATCGACTATACGTTGAGCGATGAGAGATAAGGATTTGATTATCGACTCATATTGCTGAGATTTTTTAATACGCATGTTGTTTGTGAGCTATGAACCCATTTTCGTGCATTGAACTATGTTCGGACAGCAAATGTATATGTATGTACGAAAAAATAAGTAGAGTAGAGAAACATGTTTTATAGAATACACAAACACGTATATATGATACACACACGCATTATACACATATATATTGAAAAAGAGAAGATATACTTCGTGCGATTGAATCGTCCGGAACACCTATATTCGGTTCCCGACGAGCGTTTCTCCTCTTTTCAAATTGAGGAAAGCGTTTCTTTCTCGTCGCGAGACTCGTAGACTTCTGCCTTTCATTTTTTTTTACGTATATATGTATATGTTATATATTTAACGATTGTGTTTATTGCACCCGTGATCGCGACGAGGAGAGAGAGAGAGACTCACTTCGGCGTGAACGACAGAGCTATGGTGATGCCGGTCTATTTCGTATGTATTGTCCTTTTTCCCCAACAAAAAATGTGATAACTCTATAATACTAAAATATAATAATAAAAAATGTGGTAACTATATATTGCATATAGAAATATTTACTATTATAAAAAAGTCCATCGCCTTCCTCCATCGGATTTTTGAGCCTCGAGCATCACGGCGTCATACGCACCGGGGCAGGTGAAATGTTGCAATATCCAAATAGCACGTACAGTTACGTTTCTTCGAGTTTCTTCTCCGTAGGAGGAAGGGTGGGGAAAGTTGTCTCGAGAGTGAAAGGAGAGGCGAGAGTGAGCGCACTCCGGCGAGTGAAAGAGCGAGAGAGAGCGTGAGGGAGGGAGAGAGGGAGTGCATGAGAGAGCGCGATGGAGCCGAGTAAAATCGATTAACGCACTGCAAACGATGCCGCCCGCCAAAATTGTCGTAAAATTATGTTTCTAGATCGAGAATACATTTATCGCCATCGCTCTCGTTTTGATCCCGGGAAACGTTTAGCATGGATGAACTAGCCTGATAATTCGGCGTCGTTAATTCGTGATAACATTTCCTGTTTTCGCAAATTTTTATGTTCGCATAACGCGACAACGTTTCAGTACAGGGTTATCGTGAAACGCATACGACTATGTGTTTTAAACACCATGCACTGACTGAAACAAAAGGTTTCGTTGCTGACAATTTTCATAAATGGACTGTAGAATAGAGTTGATAGCGAGTAGTTTTAGGATCTTTTCTTGTTTTTTTTTTTTTTTTTCGTTTTTCTTTTGCTGAGATTTTTTAATACGCATGTTGTTTGTGAGCTATGAACCCATTTTCGTGCATTGAACTATGTTCTCATTTGCTAAAGACTTTTTGATGTTTCAATTGTGATAATGGTCAATTCTTATCGATTCTACACATACATACATACACAGATAAATACATATATGCATGCATACATATATACATGTACATGTATTTCTAATAATAGCAATTATCATTTACCGTGATTTCCAAATTTTTTATATAAGTAGATATCACCTTTGACCAAATTTAATCATGCAATCTTATTGTAATGTTATTACGTATTGCAATTTAAGAGATTTCTTCAAAAATAGAGTGAAAGTCGCGTTAAAGCGCGTTGAAGTTAGATATCATTAAATAGAAATCTTAGCACACACACTTTCGAATCTTCCCAAACTTTATCTGTAACAGCCACTTGCATAAGTGACTGTCGCAACGGCTGCCTTCCGTTTTCTAGCAAACGGCGCATTGTTCAAATTCCCATTGAAACGAACGACAGTGCCAGCGGCGATAATCCGCCGCTGACTTGCATGACACGCTATCTTGTCGCAACGATGACGTTGCGGAATTGCCAAGAGTCTCGATTATCATCCGCCATTTTAAGCGTCAAATTACTCGCACGACATCTCCTCTTCTCATTCACGATAACGTACATTATTCCCACACACGAATGACTATAATTTCGGAATAATAGTTTAATCAAACCCATTCTTTTTGCTTGCAGAACGCAGCCTCGGCCAAGGCAAAAGAATCACCGTCGTCTTCGACGTCGGGTACCGCGAACGGCGGCGTCGCCGTCAATAATGTCACCAACGGACACGCGCCACTGAAGCGCAGCTATACTTCCTTGGTGACCACGTTGATCGAGCAACACCGGAAATTGGATCGCAGCGTGAGCGAGCCGACGTCGCGCTACAAGACAGAGCTCTGCCGGCCGTACGAGGAAAGCGGCTCGTGTAAGTACGGCGACAAGTGCCAGTTTGCACACGGCTACGGAGAGCTGCGCAATCTCGCGCGCCATCCCAAGTACAAGACCGAGCTGTGCCGCACTTTCCACACAATCGGCTTCTGCCCGTACGGGCCGCGCTGTCACTTTATACACAATTTCGAGGAGGCGCGCATACATAATCAGCAGGTGAGTGCCCAACTAGGCTCGACACAACCGAACATAATCGGTCTGAACCCGTTGATGAGCGCGGCAGCCGCTGCTGCGGCAGCGACCGCGACCGGCAACGGTGCCACCATCGCCAACAACAATGGTACCACTGTCAACAATAACGTCAATGTCAGCCTGTTGGAGCATCTCGCTGCGTCGTCCCACGTGGCCGTTGCGGCCGCGGCAGCGGCCACCACGTCGAACCTTATGCGAACTAACTCGTTGAGCTTAGGTAGCGCCGCCAACGCGAATGGCTACAATCAGCCGCCATTGCTGCGAACGTCATCGCTGAGCCTGGCTACGAATCATCATCACGCGGTGCATCATCATCATCATCATCATCAGGTGAATGCCGTCAAGTCGGTGATCGGCGCGACGAAACCGAAGCCGCTCAATCTCAGCCCGACGTTCTCTCTCGGCAGCTCCGCCGATTCGGTGTCCCCGTCGTCTAGCCTCAGTCAGTCGCCGACGAACTCCATGGCGAGTTTCTTCAGCGACGACTGTAGTCAGCAAGCGGCGTCATGCACGAATCTGCCGACAACGCCGTTCAGTTTTGGTCAAGATTTCAGTCTACTCGCCTGTTCAAGACAAAGTCCAAGTCCGCGCAATAACGGTGTGTGCAGTCCTCTCGCCTCCGATGAGGTAACGCCTAGAACACCCTCCCCGTTGTCACCTAATACGGAGTCTAGATTGCCGGTGTTTAATAGGATCAGCAGCACCCTGGGTGATTTTGATAATCTCAAGATTTAGAGCGATTGCTGCGCGAACCGTGAGGGAGGCGAAACTTTCGATCAGTTTCGCATTCCGAAGAGGAAAAGGGCTTCAGGGGGATTGTGACTCGGGATTTGAGCGAGGATAACTTCCCCGCAGTGGATTCTGTCGGAGGAAAACGTTTTCTTTCGTTTTTTTTTTTATATATGAAGTATCGCTGTTCGCGCGATGCGATTTTCTTTATTCATATCATCTAACTTTCTCGAAAGATGATGCGTCTTTTTAGGCATACGTCAGGTTTCTTTTTTACCTTTGAAAACCCTTGTCTCTTTTTTCCTCCTTTTTTATATATTATTACCACCATAATCATATATATCGTATCATTACTCTATTGTAATATATTACTATATTACTACATATATTATATTATTATTATATTATTATTGATATATTTGTCATCTTATTCCTTTTTCTTTTTCTTCTTCTTTTTCTTTTTCATATTTTATCGTTAGGCGTGAGTTTAGCAGAAAAGTGAGATCAGCCCGGAAGTCTCAACTCGCTAGGCCCGAGACTAAAGTGCTTGGAGGAAGGTATAAAAGTGGAATAAGGGGAATGTGTGAAAGGATCAGAGGGCGAAACGATGATACCGAGCGCAAATTTATTCCGAAGTGTGACTTTCCTACGAGCAAGTTGTTCATTGATCTCACTTGGTGAATCTTTATTACGCCTTCCGGTCCCCACGAACTCATTGCCCACGGTCCATCGCCTTCCTCCATCGGATTTTTGAGCCTCGAGCATCACGGCGTCATACGCACCGGGGCAGGTGAAATGTTGCAATATCCAAATAGCACGTACAGTTACGTTTCTTCGAGTTTCTTCTCCGTAGGAGGAAGGGTGGGGAAAGTTGTCTCGAGAGTGAAAGGAGAGGCGAGAGTGAGCACTCCGGCGAGCATGTTATATATTTAACGATTGTGTTTATTGCACCCGTGATCGCGACGAGGAGAGAGAGAGAGACTCACTTCGGCGTGAACGACAGAGCTATGGTGATGCCGGTCTATTTCGTATGTATTGTCCTTTTTCCCCAACAAAAAATGTGATAACTCTATAATACTAAAATATAATAATAAAAAATGTGGTAACTATATATTGCATATAGAAATATTTACTATTATAAA